TTGCTGCATATTGTTTTTTCTCTTAACACATTTGTCATGTTAGCGACTCTCTTCGTACCGAAGTATTTTGTTTCCGTGTGAACCACAGTCGTATAACAAACAGCTCTCACAAAGTTAGATTCTCAGTTCCAAAAGACCACAGTCAGCTGCTGTTCAACAACCCGTCGCTTAAACGACCGATCGCAATCGCCTGTCACGGGACAGGTGCACACTGCTACATATCTTGAAGACAGATGGCGATAGGCGCAAGTACAGTCGACACGTGCGCACGACCCCTTTATCAGTAAATCAGTTTAGCGTATGATCACACTGTTGGGCTCATTCGAAAATGAGTTGACAACATGCAGACAGACAGAGCATGATTTACTATGTCTGGCGTATCTCATCAATAACACTGGAACACCGTTTTCAGTGGATTGAAAGCAATTCACATTCTTTTATCTTTGAAGGACAGAGAGAGTTATAAAATGGTTATAAAATGATCCCAACTAACTATAGTCACCGTTTGAGCGAATGACGATTGGATTGCTGCACTTACCCAAAGCCGAATCGCTGTGTCACCATTGGGCCATAGTAATTCGGTAGTGAAAACTGTGGCGTTTGTTGTTTTTGTTGTTACTGTTGTTGTTGATGATGATGATGATGCTTTCGCATTAAGAGAAATCGGGGTTTTAAGTTATCATCGTGTAGCACCCTTGTCGGTGGTCAGTAGTAAATCTATACAGCTATCAAGCGGTTTAAAATATAGAGTTTCTGATCGTCTCATACGCAATAAACCTCATTATTTGAAGAACTATTTTCTTGGGGTAAATATCCCTTGAACAACTTTGCAAAGACAATGAATTCATTATGGAACCGATAGTTGTAAACGGCAAATGGAGTTCTGGCAGAAGGTGCTGTTTTAGAAGCAACGGAGGTGGGGTCACTTCCATCGAACACAAACTAGTGAAAACATCTTCTAGAATAGAATGCGGTGCTTTCCGAAATTCATTTCATTGTGCATCGCTTGAAATTACAATTTGAGTGTCCGCTTAGGAGTATGCAGGGTTCTGACAAACGAGTGTCAGACTTGCCGGGCGAGTTTAGTTGCTTTGAAAGTGCAGAGTCCGCGTTAATTTTCTTTTCCTGGCTCTTCGTTACTTTAGTAGGAAAACTGTAGTTTTAAGCACACCGTTCTGATCCATTCAATTGCCTGATGGCCCCACATTTGTCCTCTTGTTCAACGACCATTGTGTGGTGCAGAATGTTGACTAAATCATTGTAAAAGTGAGTATTAGTCAATGACTTTCAATTTTTTGTTGATACACTGTATTTTATCAAGCGTTTGCTATTGATTTATTGGTACGTTAGTGAGACTGAAGTCTAACGAGCATGATAAATGAAGATTACAATTGTTTGAAGGCGTTTGAATAATTAATTTAAGGTGTAATTGATATTTATGTCTGTGTCAGGATGACAGACAACTACGATATTTATGGTAATCCCTCAAAACCATGATTCCTAGTTATGCAGATTATTTCACCTATCACGAACTCGCTCCCTCTGCTAGGTAACCGCGTTTACCATAGACATAACTGTTTCATATTGCTGCGATCGCTCGTGGTTCACTTTTGTTCCGTAAACGTTGTGACTGTTTACATGAACTTAAATCATCTGAATAACCTCTGATCTATGCGTTTCGGCCCCTGTTATTGGCGTTGAAAGTCAGACTAATGATCATCAGATACCCTCGGCCCGACCAAGTACGCAACAAACGAACTCGAGGTAATTATGTTTCCTTCGTGTCCAAGCGACATAAAGTGATACCTTTTTAGATGCGTTTGTCCTTTGATCTACGGAAGTTGCTGTGCATTTGAATTGGTGGTTAGGCGATTCCGAGGTTAACCTGGGCAATTTATGCTTGATCGGACGTCGGATGTCGAGAAAATGAATCTGAGTTTGGAGGCGTTGTGCTTTGACTTGATTGCGGAACTTAAGAATCTTCTCGTGCAATGAGAATGCATTTCAGTCGACACCATGGTTTAAGAAGGATAAGACAATTTTCTACATTTTACAGCTGTTGATTTATTCATACAATCTTATTCTAAAATAATCACTACCTCCGATGACATTAGTACTCGCGCATTTACGCTACTCATTCTCCTCTTTAAACTGCGCTCTACCAGCTCACCCACGAAGTCACAGCCCCCACCCAAGATCATCTCACATTAAGTTACAAAACCAACTTCCACGGTCATGGGGACACGCCTGTTGGAATATACGTTGACTACCACGACAGGGTTTACTTAGACTCATTATAATCCCCTCGGTGAAACCTAGGCCGAGTTCAAATCCCATCGGAGTTCACCACGATCTTTCAAAAGTCGAACAATAGGAAAAGCCAAAGTAAACGTAGAACGAGGCTTTACACAACTCTATGAATAAAAGACAAAAACAATAATACCGTCAGGAATGCTTGGACAGGTTCAGCTAATAAAGACATATCACCTAATTACATTACTGATAGAACTTACTCGACTTTGAGTCGTAGAAAATTCCGATGCCGACATTGCTCTGTCGGTTGATTGGTCGATCACGTGCTCATCTTCCTCTGGATCTTCCTCGTCTTCTTCATCTTCATCTTCATCACACAAAGCGGTCAAGTGATGCAGAATTCGTTTTCGACGTTCCATCACTTGCGTTTCGTACTCCGCTTTCAAACGCATTTCCGGTGTTGATGCGGTGCTTCCCTCACCGCGAGACGTTCTATGCGATGAGGTTCGTCCTGAATCAATGGATTCAATATCCGCATTTGACGGAGATTGATAGACGACGTATTCGGCAAATGCATGCAATTCGGCCAACAATTCAGACAAAATTGCGCCACGTTTCGGTTGCAGATGATCACCAAACGGTTCATCCTCTTCATCTTCATCACAAACCAGGGAGGAACCGGATTGGCTATCCGCTAACCGTTCATGATTGGCTCGTTTGAAGTATCCACCTTCACCCGGATCGGGTGATAGGGATCCGGCAGAACCAACGGAATCCATTGTGCCTACAGTATTCCACGAACGTTCTGAGGAGTAACAACGAGGTGTATATTCACTGGTACACTTATTTGTTGCACCGTTTACTTTGAGTATCCACGGAGGCGGAGCACTGTTATTCTCGTCACCATCACTGATAATATCTAGTTGTTTAAGCTAGTAAATAATAAAGAGCATGAAAGTAAACAATAATGAAACAGCACATTTTTGAAGATACATTCATAGTGGTCAACCCAAAAATCACAGATGCGGCTTAGTATGGCTTGTTGTCAGTTTGAAATATGAGCCAATGGAACTTCAACCCATTGACTCGGAAGTGCATCGATTGATAGTATTGATTCTAGTAGAGTGCGCAAAATCCGGTACTGAATTTACAACCAATCTCTCTAGTGGTTTGTGTAACAGTGGACAGCAATCATTACCAAAATACAATATGCTGTCACATGTGTTCCATGAATGAACACGAGTACGGAGAGTCCGAAAAGTGTCTACATGCTTTGAATGCTTTGACCGGGCTATTGCAATGATGAAAAAAGTCTCCATTATTCAAAATACAGTCAACAAAGTCGTAAGTCCGATGTTTGTCGAAAATGCTTAGGTCGATAGAAGCAAAATGACGGAATGCGAGACATTTCTAATCATTTCAAGTTGAAGATGAAAACAATTTTGAAAGAAAAAAATAGTCTCAGTATTGCACAATTGATGTCCAGAACGATTTTGCACCATTTCAGTCAGGTAAATACTGCCGACATAAAAGGGTGGTGTGGGGTGGGTAAGAAGAAGTCCATATCAACACGATATGGACAAGCTAACGTAAAGTTCTTTTCCTTGGAGTTCTCTCAGTGGATAGTAATCGCTTTTGCAAAACTTAGCAGTGGTAACCTTTTTGGGGTTTAGCATGTCACCAAATAGGTTGCCACGGAGAGCGATGTTTGCCGAGACAGGTAGTGAGTGGAATAAGGCCCAGGGTGATCAAGCTAAGACCTGGCATGAGGGTATGAAACCCTAACCAGGAGTCTGGGTCACATAGGTCCTGTTAGGCTCCCTGGCTGGGGACCTCACACCAGGAGTCTGGGTCACATAGGTCCTGTTAGGCTCCCTGGCTGGGGACCTCGGGATGATTGCAACCGATGATTAGACACAATGAGTGATATGGCTGGATGTCGTGAGCAGTGACGTTCATGCATCTTCTCAATTTCTCCGCACCATTAGTCCACTGAACTTCTCAATTTTCTCTTCAATCCTACTTTCAACTTTCCTGTTTTCCTCCTATTGTTCACCCAAATAGGCAGCCAGAAGACAGCAACCAAAAGCGTCGCACGGAAATACATGCTTTATGGTTGTTTAAACGGAACTGAACTAACAGTCTTACGGTTCGCGAATTGTAGACAATCTCCTTCGGTCCTATTTGGTGCTGCGTCATCAGAAAGTGTCGAATTATAGCCGATGACGAGGTCTTGTAGTCCTGGCCACCGTTTTTATGCATGATCTGATTTGTAACCAACCAAGTGGTTATGTAATTGTCATTCCAATCTGCCCATATGGGTCGTTTCAAACCCAAATTAGAATTCAGAGATCTGAATAGAGTTGGCGTACATAGGCAAACGGTTTTTGCACAGGACTGTGGGTATTCTCGTTGCCCGATCAAACATTTTTGGGTCAGCTGCGTAACATGTTCGGGTGATTGCCGGTATAAGTTTTCATTCATCATCATCATCATACAGCGCGAGACAAATAAGCGAACTTTGATGATCGCTGCTGAACTCACAATGTACACATGCTAACCGATAAAGTAAGAAAAGGAAAGGAATTGAGTCTAATTGGCCGGGGGAGGGAAGAAAGTGATTCTCTCAACATAATACGAGGCCAAACTTTGGATTCATACTTCTGCAAGTATTCTAACCGGATAAGTAATCACAACAAGAACGCCACTGCTATCGGTTAGTTGCCATATCCTTCAGTTTTTCCAACAAGCCAGTTACCGGGTCTTTTGGACCAAAATCTGTAAGCCGGGAGACAACTATTCTACCTAATGGCTCTGTGCATTTCGTCAGGTCTCGTCTTCACCTTATCTGTTGATCTCCATCCTCTTTCAACCGCGGGCCACAACTAAGAATGAGGCGCGATGCAGTAGTTGATAGCTGGACATGCACAATACCTGTATGATCAGCGAAGCCGACTAATCTGAATTCGATGTGCCAACGAATACTCCATCGAATCAGAACCAAATACGCTACGGCTGACCTAAGAGTTGTTTGCGCACTCGCTCCATTCCACCCACGCCAAACTCCCTAAACATCGAAGGATTCTAGACGATGAATATCTTCTTCGAGCAAATTAACGGTCCCGTGGCCACAAAGCAGAATTGACCGCACACAGGAGCATTATGCCTGACCTTTCGGTTTCAAGGAAACATCACGTCTGCACCAAAGGTGTTTCGATCCTACTCGTGCTTTGGAAATGCAGACGGTTAATTCATTCACTGTACTACCGTCATTTGCCACGCAGCTACCCAAATAGGAGAAACATTCCACAATAATTAACTGTTTGTTTTAACTTAAGCCTAACGTCATCGCCATTAAATTGAAGGCATGACCTGACTCGCATTTATGGATCTGACACAACCGTTCTACAATTATCACTTTGTTGTGCTTTAGAAGAAACGCTTCGGGGACAGCGCTTTATGCTAACATCTGCGAAAGGTTTTGTGTGTTTTGGTCATTTCTATCCTCCAGGCAGATTCACCTGGATCTGTGAAATGGGGTTCGAAGAAGACCACGTTTATACTCCAGGGGCAGAAACCTCTGAAAGTGTAAATATAGGCCAGTCCGGTCAGGTCTTTGTCCAATTACCGGATCAGGAAATTACTCCCCACCTCTTCTGGTTATGCGGATGTCGAGGAGAATCAATGCGTTGTGGACTCCCAATGGAGTTGATGAACGTAGTCTATTCAGTCCATCTATGATTAGTAACATTACCTTCTAGGCTCCGTTTCACATTATTCCTCCTTTTAAGAAAAAAGAAATAAAAAACGGGACCGAAATAGTGTGGCAATTGTGAGCTATTAAATTGTGCATACGTTTGGGGGGCATTCTGTTGTTTGGGTCGAAAGACTTTTCACCGGGCATTCACATGCTGGGTAACTCCCTCACCACAAAAGTAGTTTCCAATTTTTACAGCCGTTAGGTGCTTGCATAGAGAAATTTTGTTAACAACTACAGGAAAACCAAATCGCGAATAACACCAATTAGATTCTAATAAGAACCCTAAAATTGCTGATTGCAATCACCCTGTGTGATAGCCTGCACCTATCNAAGGTTGCCATGACAACTGAATATGAAATCGATTGCTAAGGCTTACCTGCAACAAATTGGTCTCGTGTGAAAATGAGGCAGATGCTCATCGCCCTATCGGATTCATCTTCAAGTACCAAGTCTCTTTGTTATGCAGCTCTTGCAAGTCAACGTTCTCAAACGGGTTTAAGTCATTTTGTAACATCTAGTCCAAAACATATTGGTTCTACAAAAGTGTACTGATGGTGCGTTCGGTTGGGAGTAACCCGTTTCTATCACTGATATGCGGTTGCAGACTTTCACGTTTTCTTACAAGTTATTTTTTCTTTATATGATGAATTCATCGTGTAAATGAGGCGTAAGCTGAAAACCTGGGAAGCATTGGACAGCTGTTTCTACCTGGTTGGGTCTCATCACCTCACGCTTCATTTACACTCTGAAATCATCATACAAAGAAACACAAAATTCTCCATTATTTTTTCGTCGGTCTGAGAGTTTTTGATCTATATGTTCTTTATGTATGATCATAATCCACATCGTTGTTTTCACATTCGGACACGATAACCAGAACAATAACAACAACAAACAGTCACGGTTATGGCGAACGCAAGTAGGTCACACATATAATGAGTCATAGGAATCAATGAACACACGGCAACTCATGATTTTACTGAAAGCGAACGCCACAACAACAACAATTACAACTGCAGTTTTCATAGTTAACACCGTTACGAAATGGTCGATGGATAGGAGACTGCACAGGTGAATACTGCGCCCCAGACTTAACATAAAAAGAACGACCAGATTTCAATAAAATACCTCTGCCTTCTTCATTGGCCAACAAATGCTATCATGCACATAAAAATAATCAAAAGAAAGCCAATTTGTGAATTATTGATAGTAAATCATCACACTGGAGAATTTGGTGTCACTTTGAACCTCACCATGTAGGAAATACCTCCTCAAATCAGCATATTCAAACAATCAGACCCAGCCATTGAAAAATCAATCCATTCTGTCACTTAGATGTTATTATTGAAGGGGATAGCAGTCTCATCCAAAATGTTATTCACATGCTATCCCAAAACCGGTCGAAATTGGATAGATGGGAACAAATCTCCCCAGTCTATTCTTGCAAGCTAAAGAACATTAGCTTTTTGAAATGATCGATTCAAGGATCAATGTTGATTTAATGCTTGCAACACCCGTTGTCTTGTTGTATTACGGTAATCTTTGAGATTTTCATGAGTACAGTAAAGCAAAGTTGACCATGTATTGCAAATAGTGATTCCCTTTATTGAACTCACACCCGAGATATCAATTGAATTGTGAGAAACTGTGAGAACTCGAATAATTTGATCACATCCCTTGCACTTCCCATTGTTTTCACACAACCATGAGTGATTCAATCACAGCTTACATTTAACTAGAAAGTGAAGAGATGGTTCAATCGGATTTCAATAGGCAAATACTTTGATATATCCCATGAAGGGCTGAATGACGATCCAATCGAAATTCACTTCAATCAAGCTCCTATTAACACTTTTGTATGATGGAATACGCGTAAAACAAGACAAATCCTATGTTTAAAATGTTGTTGAAGAACAAAATGGTGTACTCATTCCACTTGCCTATCACCCACAGCTCTTTTTAGTTTACCGCGTTCTCCACCTAAACCGATCGTATCGGGTTGGTTCTCTGTGTGACATCGATGGAAACTGGAATTATCATCTGATAACTACTAGATATACTTGTATATGGATTTCGGTAAATATGAGGTTCCGGGTAGAGACAGAATTAATCACCAAAATCATCTTAAGGCAGCTATACGTACAACTGATGAATCTTATCGATCCGAAAAAT